TTACAAAGGCAGCACTTTCTTCTCAGTTAATTAAAGACCCTGAGTGTTGGTCCGGCCGGATTTGAAATCACGACCTCCCGCACAACAGTCCGGCGCTCTACCAATTGAGCTAACCGGGAGGCGGTGTAAGAGGACGCAAGGGCAGCTTAAGATGGAGAAGATTTAATGGATTGCAAACAACGAAATTGCAAAATTAGGTGATTTTAGATTTTCGTTTTGTATAAATGTGCAAAGTTTTCAAACGCACATTTATTAACTCTTTTGTTTCGCTACCCTTTCGTTGGTGTTACATTTGTGGTTTTCTTAAAGTGCATGCCATGGTTTACTATCGTTTTGCATCGCACTATATCACTAAAATCATGGCAATAGCTCAGAGACACGACCAAACACCCTTCCCCCCCATCCCTTTAGATTCCTGGTCCACCGCTTCCCGTCAAAACGATTTAGTACTGTAGTATATAAAAAAGTGTGTATCAGTCTGACTGCTAACAAGTCTGATGATTTTCAGCGCATATCTGCCCATTGTTTTTGTTTTGTTTTGTTTGTTTGCTGGTTAAATGTCCAAATACTAACTTCTCAAAATCATCACATTGTTTACCAAAGGATCTAACGCTGCTATTCATTCAAGTAATAATCATTCAAGTAATAATCGTTAAGACTGTATCAGTCATTCCGAAATGAGGTAATGATACGCGATATACTCTTCCAGGAGACAGAATCAAGAGCCCACGAACGAGCTTTTTCCTTGAATGAAATCCCTTCTAAGAAATCGAATTTCTCTAGATGTGTTGCTACTCTTGTTGTTATGGGCACTGCATAATAGACTTTGAAAAGATACCAATCGCTTACCCTGGTCCAAAAAGTCCTTGTTTTTTCCTATACAGTAGTCTTCTACCAAATCATTACGCGGCACTTGTTTAAGTGCTTTACCCAAGGCTTGATAAGTAGCCTGAGTTCCGTTTTTCCCTCTCCAAAGTTGTAGCATTCGGTAAGCTTGTTCGGCTACTTCTTCGTAGTCAGCACAGATACTTGATACTTCTTGATGAAGTTTAAGATAACGCCCAAGCATTTTCCAATCGATTGACAAGTCTAAGGCGAGATTGATAAGAGAAATCGTGGCAATTGATTCCATTTAGCGACTATCGAAGACTTTAACGAACCAAAATATCAAAAAAAGCTCGTCTCAAACTCACGGAAGTTGGCTAATTTGGAGGAATTTTTACATTTCCGGTATTATAAACCCGACTGTGATATTGGTCAGCAGTTCTCAATCGAAACAAAGATGGCGGTCGATGCCGATTTAACAAGCCGCATCCAAAACACCATCGTAAAAGCCATAAATGCGATAATTTTCCAAAGGATCTCGTAGAAATATTACGAGTTATATAAAAGTTTGCAGTACTAACTTGGAGGCATTTAAATCAGAGGAATTTTGGTCCTTACAGACGTTTTATTGTTCTTCATCAGTGGTGAAAAGGAACTTTTCTTTGTGCTAAGTTATTCTGTTGTTACTTGTTTCCCTGCGTAGTTCAAACGAGAAAGCCGTATGCAAGTCAGTACAAGAAATGATTCCGCAACAACTAACGGCCAAGCGGCCAGGTCTGATAAACATATGAATGTAGAGGCGAAGTTTCTAAAGAAACTGTGGATTTATGCTGCGTCGGTGAGGGGATTACAGGATAATTTTTTACTATCAACAGAGTTGATAATGTAAATTGGCCACCCTAAAGAGTGTCTAAAGCCGATATTTCGAGCGACAGCCCTTCGTCTTTCGCTATGACGAAGGGCTAACGCTCGAAATATCAGCTTTAGTAACTCTTTACGGTGGCGAACTTACATTATCAACTCAGTTGCTCGGTCAGAACAAAATGCAGACTGCAGACTACAGACCGGTTGCAAAAAATTGAAATTGTATTTAAGAACAATTGTTGCCTGGATGCTTTGTTAAAAACAAATTATTAAAAGCTGGATCATTGGATAATTCAAGACTTTTCATTGGCTTAGCCATGATGGTTTATGAGCCAATATACCATAAACTACGATATGGTAAGCGTAGCAAGGGAGTTAAAAATTTAATAAAATTTAATCATTTAATGTAGCGTTTTTAATAAAACAATTATTCTCCTCGCGTTTGTTGGATATGAGATGATTATAGCCAACTCGGTGCTACGCGCCTCGATGGCTATCTATCATCTCATATCCAACGCGCGCTCGTGGAATAATTGTTAAATATACGAGGGAATGGGCAAAGAATATTCTACAATAGTGAATAAACGATGGTGAAACTCGGATGATCGCGGAAAAACCGATTGCGTGACACTCTGTTAGTCGCAAGATGACATGTTATCTTATTTCAGACGAAAAAACAGTATAAATCCTCTGTTTACATTCGCCATTTTCTAAACGAGTGGCGGTCTGGGTACGATTTGCCACTACAATGGCTCTTGGGATCGTTTAGAGGGACAGCGTGAAGGTAAACAAACATGGTGCACTATAACTGCTGTATTCCAGGCTGCACTAATAGTTACAGAAATGCACCTGACATTCAGTATCATAGAATTCCCAAAGACCCTGATATACGTAGAAAGCACGTGGTTCTTATGAGGAACGAGACGATGAAATTAGATTCTACGAGTACGCGGATTTTCTCTGCTGATATCGATGGAGGTGAAAAGCCGGTTTAGCAGAAAACACTTGCCTTCAATTTTTCCATGGACAAGGCCAACAGCTCCACGTAGAGAACTCTAGAGGGCCAGTTTCGAAGATGCGCAGAAAATGGAGCAAACCAAAAAAAGAAAAACAACACTTGCTCAAATTGCTCAAATTACCACTGTTGTAATTTACTGTTCACCTCTTTTACGTTGTTGTTTTCTCTCTTCAACTGCTGAATCTCTCCCTTTAGCTTAACAATTTCTTGTTCACTTGTTTGTATTCTGTCATATAAACTGTTTAGTTGGTCTCCAGTAATTAACGTTTGTATTTCCACACTGGTACTGGTGTCAGCATTAACATTCATATTGTCCGACTGTTCTTCAAATTTAAAGTTCGCTTCCAGTGGTAACTGAGCAAGTGTTGTTTTTCTTGTTTTCGGCTTCCTCCATTTTCTGCGCATCTTTGAAACTGGCCCTCTTGAGTCCTCTACGTGGAACTGTCGGTTTTTTCGATGGTAAAATTGAAGGCAAGTGTGTTCTGCTAAGTTTTTCCCCTCCATCGAATTGAGCAGAGAAAATCCGCGTACTCGTAGAATCTAATTTCAGCGTCTCGTTCCTCGTAAGAACCACGTACTTTCTACATATATCAGGGTCTTTAGGAATTCTATAATACTGATGGTTAGGTGCATTTCTGTAACTATTAGTGCAGCCTGGAATACAGCAGTTATAGTGCCCCATGTTTGTTTACCTTCACGTTGTCCCTCCAAACGATCCCAAGAGCCTTTATGGTGGCAAATCTTACCCAGACCGCCGCTCGTTTAGAAAATGGCGAATTTTGTATCCAGTCTGCAGTCTGCATTTTGTACCAAGTCTGTAGTCTGCAGTCAGAGTCTGTATTTTGTACTGACCGCTCAGTTAATATTACGGACGATTTCACTGACGGTTTAAACACGATAAACAGTAAAACTTCTAGCTGGTTAATTTACCCCAAAATATCAGTGATAATTCGAGAAGATAGAAAAGCATACGCGTTTGGTCCAAAGTTCAGTCTCGATCTCGTAACGCAACAGTAAAATTGTACTGATCGCGACGTTTTGACAGCTAAACTGCCAGCCTTCTCAGGCGACCAAGACAAATTTATTACATAAGCAAAGTTAAGCGAGGGTTCTGATTGGTCAATTTAGTGTCCACCATTTGCCCAGGGGCGTAACCTGCTGACGTGAGTGAATGCAAAGACTAGTTTCCGTGCGCTTTTTTTTTTTCTGGTCACGTAAGATTTCAGTGTGAATAAAACGTAATATTTTGCTCAATGTGTAAATGTTATGTTATAAAACAAATGGTAAACACCACAGCGAACGCTATTGAGTTATGGATGCACGCGGGAGGTTTGCAAAGCACTCAAGAAGCAAGAGTCCCTCTCGGCTATCACCTCGTGCGAATTCCTCGCGCGATCCTTTACACTTCTTTCATGCTTAGCAACCTCTCGCGTGTATCCGTTAGCCGTAACTCAATAGTGTACGCTGTGGTGTTTACCATTTGTCAAACTGAGTACGTGTCATTACAGCAAGTACCTTGGTTTGCTGTTATTGGTGCTTTTGACGCGCAGTTATTGGTGAATTTCAATTCCCCTTATTGACCCTCGTTATTATCTCCAATAATACGTTTAATTTTTGTTTAAAATTTGACCTTCGTCTTCTCTAAAGACTAAAATTCTATGTTATAACATAACCAAAGTAAAGCGCGCGCTCTGATTGGTCAATTTAGCGTCCCCCATTTGCCCATGGGTGTACGCTGCTGACGTGAGTAAATGCAAAGACTATTTTTCCGCGCGCGCTTGTTTTTTTCTGGTCACGTAAGATTTGTTAAATAAAAGGGAACTCTTTAGCTACAATGTGTTAATGTTATGTTATAAAACAAATGGTAAACACCACAGCGTACACTATTGAGTTATGGATGCACTTGGGAGGTTTGCTAAGCACTCAAGAAGCTAGAGTCACTCTCGGCTATTGCCTCGAGCGACTCTTACGCTTCTTTCGTGCTTAGCAACCTCCCGCGTGCATCCATAACTCAATAGTGTACGATGTGGTGTTTACCATTTGTTAATTATCGTACTACATGCATATCCAAATAGTTTAGGTTGAATAACATTTGTTTGTTTTACATTCTGTGTCCAGAGCTAATAGCTAGTTGACTTAAGAAACGAAAAGCAGAACATGAAAAAGTGGATTACGATAGAGTGGTTTCAATAAAAGGGAAAAGTACGCTACGGGGAACAATATCATATTTAATTCTGCCTTTAATAGTATGCATGAAATTATGGCAGTGGCCATGCTCTGACGTCAAAAGGGTGTTCCAACCGTTCGGTAATTGTCCTTAAAGGTGCTAGGAATTCGATCACAGATGCTGTTACTTCCAAAGAGTGATTGGCAAGCAGATTTCCGCATCATTTTAATTGGGAAGAAGTTAGAGAGAAAAATAAAACAGCAACAATAACAGCAAACAAAATAAACAAAAACTCTGATCTTAGGTTTATGGGATGCTTGTCCTCTTAAATAGACACTCACGTAGATGGGCAGCTTTCCTACAATAATTGCAAATTTCGGAATTATGAGTACCCCACTATGAACAAGATGACGAGTTATTTAATCTTCTTTTCAAACAATGCCTTCCTAGTTTTGAAAATCAATGCATAATTAATACTATTTATGGGCTGCCCGCTGTTCATGAAATATTTTTTGCGAAATGTTACTTTCTTTCAAGGATTCAACCTTAAAGGAAAGGTCGTTTTAGATATTACAGGCTGCACATTTGCAGTCTTGTGACTTGATCCATTCATCAACCACTTTCCTTGCGTCAGATCTTCCAATCGTCTCCAACTTGTTACAAAGTTCGTCAATTGAGACTGAGTTTGCGCAGTCCATGAGTAAGGCTTCCGTAGGATCTTTCCTCGACTGGAAATACAAGATTTTATCCACATTGTATCCCATCTCATCAGCTAGATGTCTGTAATCTCCTCCTAATTGGCGCGTGGGATCTAATTTAATGGCCAATTCTCTCCACACTTGAAATGACAGAATGGTGATGAAGTTCTTAGTTATGCAGTCATCAGTCGACTCAGGAACTCTGGGTGGCGCTGAACCTGCAGCTGGTCGTAAGTGAAACGTGAAACGATATAAGTTTATAGTTTTTTCCAAACCTCGTTTGCCGTCCCGTGTGTTTTTTCCTTGTCTCAATTTCTGGATTGTTAACTGTTAGGGAAACACATGGTCAAATGAATCATGCCTGATGTTGTTTCATAGGAAAACACTTTCCCTTTCCTTTTCCTTGGGACCCTGCGTCATACTTGCCGACGACTAAAGAAAAAGAAGCTCTACGAAAGAGAGAGAAAGAAGCTCGAAAAGCGAAATCAGCAATCATGCTGGGAACCGTTTCTCAAAAAGTCCCGGTAACTAATTAACAGGCCCGAAGCCGTATTTTAAAATAACAATTTTTAAGAAATATAGAACCAAGATCTGGCATCTTAACCAGTCCGTTTTGTCTTTCCAGCTGATAGTTTTTTTTTTTTTTACAATTTTTAAAAGTTTTTTGGTAAAGGAAATCTACGCGTTACGGACGACAAATTTACGAGCATTTCCACTTATCTCACTCTCTCCTCCTCCACACTGCAAACCTGGGTCCTGGGTTTTAACAACAGAGCATTTTTCAATCATGCATTTGCCTATCAAAATCTCAATCGCCTTTCTATCACCAGCAGTCTTAACCTCTACTGAACTGCCTTCTTAAACCTAAGTGATAATACTAAAAAGATGTACTGAGCCAGGAGCCCCGACTGAGCTTACCTAATGGGCTTTTGTTTCCTGTTGCGCTTGGCGCCTCGGACCAGCTTCCCGCGGCTCTCGATTCGCTAACCGTAGAACTGCCAAGCGCCAGATTTTTCATTTTTTCATCTAATGATTTAATTCCTTCTCCAGAAGGTACAGCAGAAGCTGATTAAGAAATGAAAAAAAAAAAAACCTAAGTGACTACCTACAATCAATCCTATAACAGGGGTTTTCTTAAGAGGAATAGGACCATATCCTACTTTCTCAAATGCTTTTAAGTAGTGACGCGACCAATAAAAAAATAACAAGAAAACATCGGCCGGTTTATTGTCTCTGATCAATCCGGCTCTCGAAAAAAACAATCTACCACTTCGTTCAAGGTGTTTGCAATCGATAACGAACTTTTCGAGCTAAAGTGATCAAGGATCAATTTCTTTTTCTCTAACCAGCGTTTTCTCCGTGTGGCTTGCGTCAAATTAAAGAAAAAACGTAACGGATGCTAACTTTGGTTATAAAGGCAAAGGTTCCATTTTTTCTTAGCGGATATACGCTGGGTATACGAAACTGAACCGGCTCTAGCAATCTTGTTGTCATGTCTTCTGATATTTTGTGTGAGTGAGGGTTATCATATCATTCAACAACTGGAACATACCGATCAATTTTTCTCGGCGCTCCACGCAGAATTTCTCAGCAACTTCCCGCATGCCAACTGTTCTGTGTAACAACGCCCGTGCAAGGCACTCATAAGTTGCGTTTCCACTTTTTTTCTTGCACCATAACTCGAGCATTTTGTAGGTACATTCGTAAGCTTGTGAGTGATCGTCTCTGATGCTGTCTAACAAGGAGTCTTCAAGCCCGAGAAGGCGACCGACCCAGACCCACTCTTTTCCAAAATTGTTGGCAATGGAGAGCACGTCACTGATGGAGACTTCCCCGGCCTTGAGTCCTTTAAGGTCAATCTCTGAAAAGGGTTGAGAAAAAACAAAAACAAAAAAGAAAAAACAACAACAACAACGAGACAATGAGGAAAAGCTCTTCGTGCGAGAGCCCAGACAAAAAGGCACTTCGGTAGAGAGAAAATCCCCACCAAAGAGGGTTAAAAAAAAAAAAAACAAAGAGGGGAAGGAAGAAAGTTACAAGACACTATGAGCTCATTCTCTCTTAAGGATAGAGACACGCAAACCCCGAGGAAGGTCCTTTAAAGGGAAAGTACGGTCTAGAAAAAGTTTACTTTGATCAAAAGTTCCTTGCTTGAATTGTCCTAACGGGCTATTCATTTGAGCTAAAAGCGTTTTAGTTGCGAACAATTACGTTCCAAAAATCGGAATTTTCAAATTGAAATCCGCCGTCTTTGTTATGACGTAGCAATAGTCAAACATGCTATCCCTTGCTGAAGTGGATGCAANGGAAGACTTTTCGACCCCAGGGACGACAGTGGTGCAATAAAACAATCAATGGCTCAGAAGATTGCAGGAAGTGGGCTTTCCTATTCACATCTCAAAGAGTTATATTTAAAGTTCGGAACAAAGGGGCTGCTTGCGATCCTCAGCATGCCTCCTTCCCAAAACACAGCGAGGAAACCTCGTGTCACTCGAACAAAGCGTATTCTCGATGCCATTGCAAACCACTTTCAGGAAACATTTCCGAAAGAAGAATAGTTCCTTTGGTTCCATTGTTGGTAAATTGTAACTTCATGTGTTTCCATTTAACCACATTTAAACTGCAGAAACTGGCCAGCACGTGTTGTGCCTCTGGAGGTGCTTGATGACAATGTACGTACCTCGCGTAACATTAGCCAGATTTAAATGACCGAAATTCTCCAAAACGTAGCAACGAAGCAAGGTTGTTAACGGCACTTGAAAAATAATTTACAGGTCCACTTGAACGACTAATTAAGCTGATGAAATCGACCGAAAATCGAGCGAGTGACTCTTCGAAACAAATCAAGGTTTTGACCAGCGGACAACGTATGCGCATGCGAAAAGCGGGATCTTGTAAAGGCCAGATTTTGGAAACGCGCGAGACGCGCGTGGATTTTCTTTAGACGCGAAGTGAATTATTTAAAAAACAAGTCCGGTGACCCCACTATTTTATTTTAAAATTGGGTAGTGTGGACTAAGAGAAAAGTACTGGTAAAATTTAAAAAAATTCTCTGGACCGGATTTATAGCCACTCAAAAATTACGGTTTTTAGCAATTACATAAAATCTGCTCCAGAGATTTTTTTTAAACTCTCTATAATTGCTTCCACTTCCATGTAAAATTGGATAAAATTAAGAAAAATAGGGGTCACCGAGTTAATTTTTGCGCTATTAGCGTTAGAAGCTCCATGATGGCTCTTATTTACAACCATATGCTGTTGCTATGGTAACAGCTGATGACGTCACGTGATTATGTTTTGGTTCACTGATGATTGAGCTAGTAACTGTTACCAAGAAAGTGTAAGAAAAATTATTATTTTGTTTTATTGAATCCCTCAAATGTAAAAGTGCTAGAAAACCTGAAAACTATTGCGAGCCACCTTAAGCCCTTATCAAATTTTGACAATGAATCGGCACATATTAGAGAATCTGGTAACGAGTTCCATTTATCTTTATATGTATGCCAGAAAGAGAATTTTAAGATATTAGTTCTTGAAAAAGGTTTCCAAATCTTCCTACTATTTCTTGATCTAGTGCTAGGACGAGAGAATGATCAATAATTATCAAGCTTAACTCTCGAGAAACCATTATTAAACTTAAATAGTTGAATCATCCATAGATATTCCCTAAGGGACTTAAGTTCCATCCAGCCAAGGTATTGCAGACGTTCGGTATAATCAATAGGTCCAGCAAGGACCTAATAATATCCAATTAATATCCTATTAATATCCAAGATGGCGTTTTTCTAACCACGAAAGTTGTAAAAATGGGCAACTTCGAAGCGCTCTTGTCGCTAATACAAAGCAAACTAGACAAAATGGCAGTTATTTTCAAACTCCTGAGGAAAAAGTCTTCTAACTGAGATAAACTTTTTCTAGACCGTACTTTCCCTTTAAAAGACTGTTAAGCCGGTAGACACCCTGAGGTCCTTTGAAGGGTACCTCAAAGAAAGGATTGCCCAGGGGTGCTCCGCTCGTACCAGACTAGAGGCCATTACCATTTGCACGAAAAATTCTGTTTATTCAGAAGGAAACAAGAAACAACGGTCTCTTTATCGAAAGGTTCAAAATTGTATTTATTGGAACTGCCAGAAAATCACCAAATCATTTGATTCGTTCCACTCGCGCTATGCTCCATGGTAAAAAATAAAAATTGTAGTATTCAGGGCCCAGTTGTTCGAAGACCGATTGGCGCTAACCCAGGGTTAAATTTTAATCCAGGTTTCTATATTTCTCTGTTCAAAAGCCGTTTTAAAATAATTTTACCAATTCTTCTTAGAGCATTCAATCAATAAATTGTAAACAAATGGAATTAAAGTGAAATTAATTTTAAAGCTTTCAGATCTTCAATTAAATTTCACGGTAACCCTGGATTATCTTAACCCACCTTCGAACAACCCGGCCCAGGCCCTCAGCTCAAAGGTTTAAGTCACTCTTTGTAAAGTTCACTCCCCCACCCTCACCCGCTCCTTATTTTTTCACTGTCGCTCACTCCCTTGGTACAAATTTCTTTCTCTCCCCAGTCTTCCGCTTTCAGATAACGGCCATAATTTTCGCTTTGAAATACTGAGCACACCTCGTCAAAAATTACGCTTGCTCTAGCAACAGGCTACTCAAACCACGGCGATAGCCGATAGGACACAGATGGCACGTAATCAGAGACACGACATTTTTCGCGATCAGTTGAATCAAGCTAAGATCGACCGTTGGAAATTACGGCACACGCTACAGATAAATAACCACATCGCTGATAGTAATAACCCACGGCACACTTTCTATAGGATATTGTATGATCTATCTGTGACCAGATGAAACTGGAGGGTTTCGTCTCCTCTATTACCTCTATATATTTCAATATTACATTGTACTGTGATAGTATATTCTTGAAAGTAAACACCTTATAGAGGATCCCTTTGGCCCAAATAAACAAATCTGATGATCTTTGGCGCAAATCTGTAGTGTCTTTGTTTTGATTGTTTGTTTGTCAGTTAACATTAAACATCCGGTTACTAATAATGGCCAGACATCATCGGATTGATTACAAAAGATCGGAACTTCAGAATACCCGTCCACATTACTTACATATGTCGGGAGGCTTTGAAGAATGAGGTAGAACACAATAGACGCTATTCTTATTCAATGACATGTAAATGATGTGGCCGGGTATTCCGAAGTTTAGCCAAAAGATCTACCGCTGTCATCACTATCACTCGAATACATCGTAAAAACTGTTTCGGTCATTACGACGTAACATACACGATATATTCTTCCGGGTGTCACAATCGAGAATCAGCGAACCAGTAATTTTAGAAAAAAACTAAATTACTTGTAACAAATCTCAGTTCTCAAGAAATTTCGCTGCTCTTATTTTTTGAGGCGCTGTGCAATAAGCTTCGAAAAGATTCCGATGTCTTACCTTCGTCCAAAGAGTTCCTGTTTCTTCCAGCACAGTATCTTTGTGCCAAATCATTACGCGACACTACATCGTGTGAAAGTGCATCACCTAACGCTTGATAAGTAGCCCGCGATCCGTTTTTCCGTTTCCAAGTTTGCAGCATTCGGTAAGCTTGCTCGAAAACATTCCGTCGGTAGTCATCACATATTCTCGATACTTCTTCAGAAAGACCAAGAACACGTGCAAGCGTTTTCCAATCGACTGACAAATCAAAGGCAAGATCAATAAGACAAGTCGTAGTAATCGACTCCATTTAGCGGTTATTGAAGGCCCAAACAAAATAAAATACCACAGAAAGTTCGTTTCGAAAACGCGGAAGTTGGCCAGATTGGAGGAATGTTCACGTTTCCGGTTTTAAGCAAAGTTGAGCCAACTGTAGATCAGCAGTTCTCAAACGAAACAAACATGGCGGTGGACGTTGTTTTGACGAGCAACATCCAAAACACCATCGTAGATGCCATAAAAAACGATCACATTTCACAGGATCTTGCAGAAAAATTATCGAAATATACAGAAGTTTCTCTCAAGAAACAAGATTCCACGCAAGCGGACGGTAAAGTTCCTATTCCGTTAAATTTAGTAAAGCAACTATGGAAATGCGTTCGAGAAAAGCGTGATTCAGGTAAAAATAATTCGGGATTCTTCAGTTAACGTACGTGTTCTTAAGAACATGATATAGAAATATTTCCAACTAAGATGGTTTAGAAATTTTGTTTTTCTCAGCCACTGGTAGGAAGGAACCTTTCTTTAAAAAGGAGTATTCTTACGAAGACAAGCAGTCTAGCAGTCGAAACGTCGCGATTGATACGATTTCTGTGTTAATAAACTAACTCAAAGTGGGAATCTCAAAGGGTTTAATAATACTATTTCAAAATGCCTTAAGCCATCGTACAAGCAAATTGTCAAATTCACATGGTTTTTGTGGCTTACTGCCTCCTTAAGGAGGCGAAGCCACTAGGTTGTTAACAAATGTAACAACCTAGTGGCTCCGACGAAGGGCTAACGCTCGAAACGTCAGCTTTTGTAATCATTACGGTGGCTAATTTACCATTTCAACTTTGTTGATATATCCAAATTATTTCGATACTCCCACCGACGCAGCCCCAAACAGTTTCTTTC